CGTCCAAATATTTTCCCCATAATGTTCTCCTTAAGCTGCCTGATGTATTCCTGTCTTTCAGATTCTTTTGCTTAAAGTTCTAATTTTTGTCAGTACTAATTGTTCCTCCTGCAGTTGTATGTGGTCCATGTAATGTGGATGTAAAATAGCCCTTTTTTTCACTGTGCAGCAGAATGTTCACCTTCAGCTGAATTAGGTGACATTTATGCATTTATCTACAGAATAGAGGTTAAATGTGGCTTTGGAAGCTGAACGCGTTGTCAGCTGTCTTGGGCAGTCTGGAGACTTGCAATGATGAATAGCACAGTAAGCAACATAGCAATTACCTTACAGTGTCTTGAACCTAGTAAAGTGTATAGTTTGGTTCAAGTGGGAGGAACTGCTGTTAATTTGTTTTTATCATGCTTGCTCTTCTTATCACTGTCGAGGCGATAAGGCAGTGCTTAGTATAAGAAAACATATGATGTAGTGACTGGTGAAAACAATTTGTATTTTTTACACAAAAGGATAAGTTTATGATTCAGTTCCTGCACATGTGATCTGGGCAGCAGATAATGCAGACCGCTTGAGTTCATTGCTGTGGATGGCATAGTCACAAACCACTCAGGATGAGGTATAAGGGATGTAGCAGAAGAATGGTAGAGTGCATGTAGTAGGACGAACTTTGAGATAAAGCTTCTCTAAACAGCGTACTGATGCCATTCGATTTCTAAAACTCACATAGAGAAATGCCACTGTCGGTCACGGTCATTGTAAGTAGAAGAGAGGCCAAATACAAATTGAGCAGGAGATAAGAGGCGTTTGAGTAGGTTTTCTTTTGCTGTTGGCTTAAGATGAAATGAGAAGTGATTTCAATGAAGAAGTTAGCTATTTAGCTCTTTAAAGGGAGGAACTATGGCTTTTCAGAACTGCGCTGAAGGGGTCCGAGCTGGAAGGGAAAAACTTATCTGGCACAGAAGCACCTGGGGTCTTGTCAGGCCTGGAACTCTGTGACATTGTCCCCTGTCTGAGGCAAGCAGGTGGGCACTGTCTGTGCCAGGGACTTTCTGCCAGAACAAGAAATGGAGTGCCGTAGTAATGGCTGCAGCAAGCAGGCTCGTGCTGGCTTTTTTAGTGGGTAGGGCTGGGGATAAGCAAAATGGGGAAGGTAATGAACCAAGAGGATGGAACGGGTAGACAAAGCTGAGAGAGAGGGGTTCAGGGTGTGTTGGAGGAAACAGCCTGATTGTGTGGCAGCTAGTGAGTCTGCCTTGAGGGGCCACAATTTGTATGGGTTTGTGTCCTCTGTTAAGCAGCACTCTCTGTCCTTCCTAACAAATACTGTGTATTAAATGAGTGCATTTGCTTAGGCATCTCATTTTTCCTGAATGCTTCTTCCTTGCTTCTACTAACATGTACCTAATCCAACTACATAATCTGACTGCAGTATTTAAAAGAGCTCATGAATCTTGCTGTGTTTCTCAAGTTATCTGTATGTTGTGCCTGTGACAGCACTCTGTATATAGTGTCACTGTTTTCCTATGCTAGTTATGCAGTTCCTTTATTTGTGCAAATCTAGTGAAGCAGTGCTGAAGAGAAATATTTCAAATTCAGAGATCAGTCAAGGCGAGCTGCAGAATCTTGAGGGGGAAGACTTAGTTCCAGGCCTAGAAAATCTGTATGAGATTTGTTTCCTCGAATGAGTAGATAACAGATTCTTTCTTCAAAACTGAAGGAGGGGACTGTTTTTTGATTAGTTTCTCCTCTTGAGTTTGGAAAATAAATATCAGTGAAGTCAATTTTAGGGTTCTTCACGGGCCAGCCTCTTAGAATCTTCATGCTAAGCTTGAAATGCTTTACTGGTATTTCTAAAAACCCCACAATGTCTCTGTAAAAGGTTTGTTCCTGAGAGAGCAAAGCATAAGCCAGGGAAACTTGGGTGAGTTTGGATGGTAGTTTGAAAACATGGATTGGTTGTGTTTATTGCTATCAGACCTAATTGAAAATATTTGCTGCTTTTTGCTCAATTTCCTTCCACATTGCTGGTCCCTGTGGAAGGCAGGGTAGCTAGCTGAGGGGCAGCTGTTCCCAGGGTTGGGAACATTCCTTTTGACGTTGTCATGATGCTGCAAGTGCACACGTAGAGAAAAGCAAAATGCAACTGCTTTTGTTAGTGCTGTGTTATTATACAACCAAGTTTGCTCAAGAAGCAGCAGTTCCCAGTTATGTAGCTTTGTTTAAATGCTTATCTTAGCTAATTTTGGTCTACTTGGTAAATAAAAAAACTCATTTGATAATGAAATCATGGCAGTTTTGGCCTTTCTGTTAACTATTTGAGATACCTTTGCAAGTCACTTCTTGGGAGACATTTTATAGAGTCTGTGAGAATGAGCGGTTTGCAGAACTTGCTTCTGCTGTGAGGAAATTTTTCTAATTGGTTTTGAAGTTTGTTACATCAATAAAACACAGTGGGTCTGCTGCTTCTATAGCTGGATATTTTCAAGGGGTAACAGCCAACATACTCTGACTTGTATGCTTGCTTAATGTGGCTTCCTCATAAGAGCTGACTGTGTTTTTTTATTAAGGTTTTAAACCCACTGTGTACTAAACAGTTTCTGTTGAAGAAAAGATTTTGCTATCCAGAGCGCAATTCAGCTTTGTCTGAGGAGCACATTTAGAACCTATTGATGCTGTAGAGTGAAACTAGTTTTATCCAGGGGACAAATGTGTTGACTCAATTTGTTGATATGGTTCATTGTACAATGTTCACAGGCTCCAAGGAAGCAGCAGTTGAGGCATCAGAATCAATTGGATAAGTTTGTTGTCTGACCATCCATCTCCTTATCTAGACCACCAAATCCTTGGCAGCCTTTTCAAAATGGAGGGAAATTTTTTGTAGTTTTTTTTCCATGTATTCTTGCAGAGGCTCTTTAGGCATGTAATTCTTTTAAAGGCAATCAGATTTTTCTGTTTGAGTTTTGATATACTGGGTGCCTTTCTCTTGACCGAAATTGAGTCTTTCTCAAGTCAGCTCTTATTAGAGGCACTACTGCAAGTCAGATATAATTGGAGATGTCAGTTAACTTGACAAGGTTGCTTTTTGCATACACCCCAAATGGCGAAGTTAAATGCTAAAGCAATGTTTCAGAATAAATTACTCTGTTTACTGTCAGCAGTTAAGTGTTTAAAGGAAGTAGGTATTTAAGTATGCATCGTAGGGAACTAGTCAATTCCTCTTGAAGGTTTCACAAGATTTTGTGGAAACGATGTACTGCAAAAGGTTGTTAGATTTTTCCTTTACCTCTTCCTTTAAGCTTTGCGTTCTGCAGTGCTACATTGTTTGCGACCTGTAATCCCTTATACCTGGCAGTGTCATTAGTTTAGACCTCATTCATGTGCCTGGTTTTAAGCAGTCAGATAACATCCATTGTAGAGAAGAACTTTAGGAAACTGTATCTACATTTTTGTACTGGCCTTCCTCTCGAGTTTGATGTAAATCACAGAAGCTAGAACCTGTTAGCCAGCCAGACAGCAGTAAGACCATACCAGCTGCTGGTTCTTAGCTTGTAAACTTGACAAATCTAGAGTTGCAGCCCTTTTATAAATGAAAATGCACCACTAATTTTTCAAATGGCTGCTTTGCCATTATCTCTCCCTATCATTCTTTCAGTCTAAATAATGGAAAATTTTGGCTGTGGTGGATGGTTAAGTGGCTTCCTTTATCTTCTCCTATCACATAAACTTATTGTCATGAGCTTTTGGCACGTAAGCTGTGTGTTCCTCTATGTTAAAGACCTGTGTTAAATTCGGCTTGCATCTTGAGTTGTTTGTGCACAATTGTAGCATTGTATTGCTTGTGAGTTCTGAACAGGATTATTGTACTTGTTACTTGTGCCTTAACTACGTAATGCAAAAGTAAGTGCTTAAGGTTATTTTATTGCTGATCCAATAAATTCACTGTAGATGGCAAAAATTTGAGTGGCTAGATTCAAGTTCTTAGCTTTGAGAATATGTGATCTTGCTGCTAAAAAAATAAATAGAGAATGTGTGGCTTGGAAGCAAGAAAAATGAGATTTTTAGTTGTATGCCAAGCAGAAGACACGTTGAGGTCATCTAATAACCCTTTAATTACTAGTATCACTGTGGATGTGCTTTTATTAAAAACAACAAAAAAAAAAAGGCAAACAACAAACCCACAGAAATTATTGTGAAGAATCTAGTTTTGCTATGACATTCATTTAACAGAATTTTGAAGCAAAGTTGATGCATAACTGGGGACAAGTTCTTGCGGGCTAAACTTTTACCCAGACTGCTCTTACCATATCTATTATGCTACAGCTAATTTCTTGTTCTTGCACAGAAAAATTCCTTCGCGTTCATTCTTTCTTGATGGTTGTCATTACCCATAAAAGCTATTGTTCCTCTTAGTCCTTGTATATATTCAAGGAGGAAGAAAAGGAGATTCTTCTAGCGCTGTTGCCTTCAAAAGACTTTCAGCCTGGGAACACTTAAGTGGTATCAGTGGTATTTGTAGCAGTGGAACTTCCTCTGTGGGCATATTTGTCCCAAAAAAATGGATTGGTTTGGAAAATCACTTTCAGCCAAAATCAGGGCAGCTAGACAGGTAAAATTCTGCCTGTGGGCATGTTCAGAGTCTGAAATGTGGCAGGAAGTACTAGACATGTATGTGGTAAGTTACATCCTTGCTATTTACAAACTCCATATTGAATTTTCTTGAATTTTGTTTTTGAAAATGTGCTGGTGGTGAAACGCAGCCTCATGAAATATAATCATATGTGCTTTGGGAGTTTTGCCTGTCCGCATGCACTTCAGTTCATAAACTAGGTTGTTTTATGGTGGCTGGGCTCCCTATCTAGACTTGAGTATCAAATGCGGTTTGTCGAGAGTGAATGTTTCAGTGTATTGTGTTTGTAACGCTGAACTAGTGTTTAAGTAACTGATCACTACTTGCTATTTTTAAGTTTTCAAAATGGTATTTTCTTCATTAACCGTAGGTGGTGCGTTTGTGTCAAAACCCAAAACTGGCGTTGAAGAACAGCCCACCCTATATCCTAGATCTGCTACCGGATACCTACCAGCATCTACGAACCATCCTATCACGCTATGAGGGAAAGATGGAGACCCTAGGAGAAAATGAGTATTTCCGCGTGTTCATGGAGAACTTGATGAAGAAAACCAAGCAGACCATCAGCCTTTTCAAGGAAGGGAAAGAAAGGATGTATGAGGAGAACTCCCAGCCTAGGTAATGGGGAGAAATGTTTTCAAATGTTTATGATAAAAGTTTGCTTTAGTGAACAAGAGTTTGAAGAAATGTCTGCTGGTTGATATGTTGTCTGTCCATGAAAACAGACTTTGAAGAGATATAAATCTAAGTGTAGAGTTTTAAGTAAACTATACTTGGGTATATTGAAATCTGAGGGTGGAGTAAGAGTTCAAAGCCTGTATAGCCTCCTTATTTGTTGTGTAGTTCAGGTGTGCTAGGTTAATATAAACAATAAGTGTGCTATGAAAAAATTTTGTGGTCCTTTGCATTCTCACATAGAGAATGCCTTGTGAGGGAGGATGATAAGGTTTAGAATGATGTTTCTGAAAATTTTAGGAAAAATGATGTTTCTGAAAATTTTAGTAAACAGTAGAATATTTTGTTACATAGGAAAACAGTCATCCAGACTAAAACTTGTTGTAATTGGTCTTTAGGCTTTACAGAACTTTTCCTTTTTCAGGAAACAGAAACTGTCCAGTATTTCCAGAAGTCAGGGGGAATTAACCTTGTTTTGTGCGAATAAGACATCTTACTAAAACCCCATAACTTACTTGCATTGGAAAGTTCATCTTTAAGGTAGATCATGGTGCCACACTTGCAAACCATTCTTTCATTTTGTTCAGAAGGCGTAGCTGAGACATCTTCAAGGTGAATGGCACATGGCATATCTTCAAGGTGAACATCAATTACTAAAAAGGATAGGTGGAGGTAGAAACTGAAATTGTATCTGAATATAAAGCTCTCTTGAACAAAACAGTATGAATTTGATGAGCACTGTACTGTACTTGAAAAGGTGCTTGTTTCTTTCATCTAGTTTTAAGGAAAGGAGAGCCAAGGTGATTTAAGAGTAGAATAAAGGTCTGAAAAAGGTTAATCTTTCATATTTTCCTGACTGTTGGCAGCAGGTCTAATAGACAGAGATGTATGAAGCATACATTTGTAACTTTGAAGTTATTTCAGGATTTTGGAGTAGGTGTTGAGTTAAAAAAAAAAGTGGAAAAAAGTGAAAACTACCCAGTGGCTAAACATAATTTCTCTGGGGAGAATATGTGGTTAACGCCCTGGCAACTACTTGCTTGAATTACTTGGAGGGGGTGTGTGTGGAGAAGTGCTGGCATATGTTTCTGGTATATTGAACTCTATGTAGTATTCCATAATGCTGATCTCCAACAAAAGACTATGATAAAGGCTCCAGAAAGCATTGAAGCATTGTTAATGCTGTTTTATTTTTCATCGATAGTGTTGAAGAATGAATTAAGAAATGGAAGTTTCTTTCTCGATTGTTGTTTAGCATCGTTTCTTTGAGATGATAAGACTTAAAAACTTTGAGAAACTCTGAGAGTTTGTTTGAGACCAGGTTTGGGGAGTGTAAATATGGCATCTTCATTTGATACACTTGCTTATTTTAAAAGTTTGCTTATCTGTATAAAGCCTTCAGGAATTGGGTTCAATGTAATGGGTGAACTCAAAAGTTAGATGTAATATTATCCACTTGCCCCACTCCCCCCAGCTTTGGGAGAATGTGGTTTGTATAGGCACGATTGCCTCATTGCAGGTGAGAAGTGGGTTTTGGGAGATGTTGCTAACTGGAATTTTCAAAAAGTATTATAGAAAGTAATAGATATAACAAATATGGGGAGAAAAGAGCTCATTAGCCTGGTATGTTTTGCGCATGAGGTGATATTTAATGGAAAATTACATTTTTTTCAGCCTTCACTCAGATCAAAAAGAGCCACAGTATGTAAAGCACTTTTTACTGTGAATATGTTGATGAAACTGATTAAAATTAATCTCTGTGTCTTCTGCTAGAACCGGTCATTTTCTTGTGTCATCCTTTGAGATATTAACAACACATTATCATTCAAGACTGTGAGTGATTTTTACAGTGCAGTGGGTTGCTCTTAAAATATTTTAAGTAGTGTTTATCTTCAGAATGGTTGTGTGTCTTGCTCCCATATAATAGAGTTGATGTTATTTTCTAGACCTCTTACTATTGCCTCCAGAAGTAGGCTAAGAGGGTATACGAAACCCTTTCAGAATGTATCTGTGATGTTTGTTCTGGTTAACTGTGCATGTATTGTGATCTCTGGTTAACTGTGCATGTATTGTGATCTGTCCATCATAAATATAGAACGTCTGATGGGTAAATGATAGATAGCTATGGCAATCAAGTCCAACATCTCACCTCCAGTCCCTTCTTTTTCAGAGAGAAGCAAAGAGAAGTAGTTCCAGAGAGTTAATCATACTAGTCAGTTTGTAGTCAAACTAATTGACAAAAGGGGGCGGGGGAAATACAAATCGATAGATGTGAACTTCAGAAACAAGATTCCAGTAGAGGCTTGCTTTCTCACAGAGGTGATGGGGAGTCTTTGGGGAATGGCTAATTGTAGCATTTATGAATAAACAGCTTACCAGGGAAGCAACTGTAGTGAGACTTGTAAACATAAGCGTGGAATTAGAATGGCATCCCAGCTACTCTCATTACACCTTCCTTAGCTTTTCACTCAGACCAGGAAGCAGCAGTTACTGTTTTGCCATAAAGGGGAAATATCAGACACCCTTTTCCTGGTACTGGTAGCGAGCGTGGTAACTTTCTCGATTCTCTAATTTGTCACAGAAAAGAAAGAGGTTAGAGTAGTCAGTGCATATCATTTGTATACTTGTTCACGAGAGATCTGCACAAAGAATGACACTAGGGGTGCAGCTAGGGGTTCTGTTAAATGCTGCATATCCATTGTCAGACTTTGTGGTTGTGTGAGCTTTTGGAACCTGATCACTTAAAGTGCTATTTGTTTCATCTGAAATTCAGTTAAATGAATTTTTGCTATAAATGCACCTTTAGATTTAAAATGTATATAATAATTTAAGGTGAATAAATGAGATTTTTCTCCCCTTGTTAGGTGTTGAAGAAAAAGATTAATCTTTTCTCTTGTAAGAATTAATGAATTCAAATATTCAAATTGTGGGGGAAGTTTTCTGGCAGGTTCTCAGCAATCTGTAAAGCAAATAAATACAACCTGAATCTGGTATTCACTGGAAATGTGCTCATGGCAGAGTGTGTATATGTACGTATAGATTAAAAAAATCTGTTTTGCTCTTGATCTCTTGCGAGTTTGCAGCTAATGTTAGTCTGCAGTGTCTTGAAAACATGCCTTTAAAAATCTTATCTGGTGTACTGAATAATTGTTTTGTCTTGACTTTTTCTGACTTTTTTTCCTGTTGTCCTTTAAGCTTCTTTCGTCCTGTCTTCCAGATTTAGCATTAATTTTGTTTCCTGTTGTGTAAGCTCTTATTTTCCTCCCCCAAATGTTTCTTGATGTAGAGCAAATACACTATTTTGCCATTTGCATAACTAGTGTGAAAGCTGTGCAGGTGTTTGCTACTAGCAAACAGACCAGTAATCAGAAATGACTGAAGTCTCTCTTCGATGGTAGGATCAGAATTGTCTTGATCACTTGAGCATCAACCTTCTGTTTTTTATTATTTCTAAATTGCTCTTTGTGTATTTCCTTTCAAGCTTTTTAGAGATTCTTCAGTGCGTTCCCAATGTGGATTAAGGCAGAATTGGAGCACAGCTGAGGAGAGCACCACGTCTTGTAGCTGCTTGTGCTGCTTTGAGAGCTCATAATAGCTGCAAGATGTGTGTCATCAAGCATTGGATGGTTTGGTGCACTGTGTTGTGTATATGTTTAGAGTAGACTGTGTGGGAGTATAATATGGATGCTGTTGGCTCTAAGGCAGGCAGTTTAAAATCCAGTAGTACAAAATAAGATTGCAGTTGCATATTGAATGTTTAAAGGTGTGTATGTAAAGAGAACACGTGCATTGATGTATTCTTTGCCTTTCAAACTACAGTAGAGGAGCAGAGGTGCTAAGAACAGGGTTAGAAAAGGCTTATGTTAACACTTGCTGTGCTTACGGATGTGGGTGAGTGTTTGTTCCCTCAGCTTTAAACTAGTTGCACTCAGAGCTGTTAAAAGTGAACACAGCTCTCCTATGTCATACTTTAACTGTCACTGCGCTGAAAGCATCGTCCTGTTGTGGCTAACACCACAGTTAGCGTGACGTCTAATGCTATAAATGCTTAATGGCTTGCTTTCTTTTCTTAGGACTGTAACAGTTGTTTTGTCTCTGTAACACTGTGGTTTTCATGTATAGCCATTCAGATGAAATTGTTACTCTTGCATAAACTCATACTGCCATTTTTTGTGAAGAGAACTACTTTTATTAGGAGAGCTTTAAAGATGCTATTTAAATTCTGCTTTAGCTCACTTCCATATTTGTTTAAAAATTAATGCTGTTGAGGGTGCTTTTAAAGCTATGTATGCACTTTCTGACTAATAAGTACATGCAGTAACTTCTAGTTACTGTTTAAAGACTGGATTTTAGCAAGTAGAGTGGATTCAACTTGATGACTTTTGAGTAGGTGTGGGTTTTTTAGTGGAGAAACTATATTGCTCCTCTGAATTTTGATAGCATAGGAGCATATTTGGATTGTCCTTGCTAATAGATAGGTTGGTGTCTTAAAACAAATTATGTATTTGGGGATCTGGTAAAATAAAATGGTAACATCCAGAGGCTTTGATATTGGAAGCAAATAGTATTTCAGGAGTTAATAATTCTAGATATTTTGTTATATGCTTGCAGTAAGCTAAAGGTAAGTCATTCAATAATTGGGTAGCTGTGCTGCTGTAATTAGCAGGTATTCTTGAGGCTACACACATTTCCAAAGCTGTTGGTTCCTATTCTTTATAGGTCCACTGTGCTTTCTAATTCAAAAGGCGTTTTAAGACTTGTCACTTAAAGTTTTAAAAACAAAACAAAAAAACCCCACTCAAAGGTGAACTTTGTAGCCTATATAGTTGAAACAGTGCAATAAAGAAATTCTGTAGAGGGTACTTAGCAGATTTATATGCAAAGGAGAAAGGCACACCTGTCTAGCACTCAGTAGCTTGCTGTGCTACTTGACAGTGGTAAAT